AATCAGTTATTAATATATAAAATATTATAATTAAAAGGACTAAATATGTTATTTACCATAAAATATATAAACATGAGAAAGTGACTAAATTATAAATAAAATAAAATTCAAAAACAGAATAAAAATGTACCTAAATTGATTTTAGTGACTAAAATAGAAAGTTTACGAAGTCTAGGTATTGAAGACATGATTTTCTCATGTAGGAAATTATAGAGACATCCTTCACCAAAACGATGTAGTTTTGATGAGGGTATAATACCCTTAAAACCGGCCCTAAAGACCCATCTTCCTCATTTTTTTCATTTGTTCTCCTTAAAGAGAGAACTCTCTCTAAAACCCTCCACCGGAGAGATGGCGGTCACCGGCTGACTGCAGTGTTCTGACATCGACAGTCGCCGCCGGCCACCACCCATGGTGGCTGGATTTTACAAAAATACCCCAAAATGAAGCTCTTGTCTTTCTAAACCCAAATCCGAAAGTTTTTTAGCCTTAAACCTTACCAAATTTCATAGATCTAGACTTTTTACCTTCAATATTTAGGTTCACCGACGACGTTTTGGCTTCGGCGAGGTAAGTTTTCTTCTCAGTTTCTTCTCTTTCTTTTGGTTTGTTGGTGTGGGTTCCTTATTGTTGCTTGCCTTTTGTTTCTTTCTTCGTCTGTATTCCTTAGTTGCTTCCTCTTCTTTTTTTGCAGGTTTTTAAGACTTTTTACATGCCTCGGACAACCGTTCATTTTTTGTGAGTCACAAGATCTACGATGGTGACTCACCTAAGTTGGAGGCGGCATGAAATAGCTCTAGGGTTGGTGAACTCTATGATTATTGCTAGAAAAGATCTGGACCATTGGATCTCTCTAGATCTAACGGTTGATAGCGTTGACGGCTGAAGAAGATGTTGAACCGTAATTGGGTTTGGATCCTGCTGGGTCATCTGGGTCGGGTCTGAATTGTGTTGGGCTTCTAGATCTGGGCCTCCGGGTTCTATTTGTAATTAGTTATTATAATAAAATTTATTATTTATTAATAATTATTATATAATAATAATATAAAATAATAATATAAAAAGGACGGGACGAAAATGACTGTCGACAGTTGTCCTTCTTTGCTCATTTTTGTATTAACAAGAATAGAACAAAGATAAAAGACAGAATTTTCGTCCAGTTGACTTCATGCTTTGATAAGAAATCCCCTTCATTTGTCACAAAGGATAATTGTCTTTTGATTATTTATTTGCATTTCTTTTGCTGGGGATACACCAATGTAATTTACTGTTAATCGACAGAGCATAACGATTCTTTTGATTTTACTATAGAGCAAAGACAAAAGATAAAGAATTTTCGTCCAGTTTATTCATTATTTATTTGCATTTCTTTTGCTGGGATACACCAATGTAATTTACTGTTAATCGACAGTGCATAACGATTCTTTTGATTTTACTATAAACTTCTTTTTAGCTAAAATATTTGTCTTTCCAGGTATTGTTAAGACTCTTGATTTTGGGAAGAATTATCCTTCTCATTTTACTGCCCCCTTTGATGGATACAATACCTGGTGGCATTGATAATCGACATGAATGATTTATCTGATTCAGGTTGCTGATATCTCCTTGAGTGATTACATTGGTGTCCAAGCTTCCAAGCATGCCACCTATGTGCCTCACACTGCTGGGAGGTACTCAGTTAAGCGTTTCAGGAAGGCTCAGTGCCCGATAGTTGAACGGCTTACAAACTCGCTCATGATGCATGGCCGAAACAATGGCAAGAAACTTATGGCAACCAGGATTATTAAGCATGCCATGGAAATCATATATCTCCTGACTGACCAGAACCCAATCAAGTCATTGTTGATGCTATTATCAATAGGCAAGCTATATAATATAAATTTCGGTGTTTTCTCTATTGTTAGTTTAAATTTTAATATGGTTTGTTGCTTTTTGATTGATGTAACAGTGGACCTCGTGAAGATGCTACTCGTATTGGTTCTGCTGGTGTTGGTAGACGTCAGGCTGTTGATATTTCTCCTCTTCGCCGTGTGAATCAGGCCATCTATCTCCTGACCACTGGTGCACGTCAGTCTGCATTCAGAAACATTAAAACCATTGCTGAATGTTTGGCTGATGAGCTGATTAATGCTGCCAAGGGATCATCTAACAGGTGGGTTTTGTATCCTTGCTTTGCTTTGAATGTGAACTGTTCTCTCAATGTATCAAATTTGCTACTACACTCTCATTACTGACCCCTTTTGGATTATGGCTTTGGACATTTCAGTTGATATGACAATATTCTTGTTCTTGCAGCTATGCCATCAAGAAGAAGGATGAAATTGAAAGAGTTGCCAAGGCCAACCGTTGAGGTATTGGAAGAATGGTACACCTGCCTTGTTTCATGAATGAGTTCATTACAAGTTGTTTTGTATCCGGGACAAGCTATGAATGTGTTGTTTTTTATTCGAGTAATTGACGAGTTCAGTAGATATTATTGAATTTTGCTTATTGATTTTGTGGTAGGCATGTTTTCATGAATGAAAAATCTGGATAACTTATGTAGTGGTAAAAATTATCATGCAATTTCATTTGTCGTTTCTGATTGTTAAGAACAGGCGATGCAGTTTATAATCATGAATGGAAAATCTGGATATATTATTGCTAGAAACATCCTTCAATCGTAGCAACTGGGTTTTCTTAGATATTATCATCGGGTTCTTAAGCTCATCACTCATGCAGAAATAAGATCACGTTGAGCCCGAGATTGAAGACATACAAACAATCCAGCATCTTGCCAAAACTGAGTTTTCCATTGCTTTTTTCACTTGGGTAACTCAAGCACGCGTACGTGAACCAAAATCGCAATCTTCTATTCAAGTATAATGATACATGTAGGGAGCAGGGAGTAGGATGTAAATGAGATGAAGATCGTGAATTATTAAAATTTGACTCATTTAAAGTTTAGTCAACGCTCGAATTAAATGTACTTAATTTGAGTTCTTAACAAGTCAAAGTGAAATATTTGATATTTAACTTGAAAATCTAGCGAGTAATTTTAAAAAATAATACATTAAATTTTTATTTTTAAAATTAAATTATTAATAATATTAATATTATATGTTAATTTTAAATTATATTATAAAAAAATTTAGGTTCGAGCTTGAACTTAGTTTGAGCTTGAGCTTCAATCGAGTTAAGTGTTTGAATATTTTAAGTTCAAGTTTTTTCGAACTCGAGTTGAGTTTCAAATTTTGATTTTGAGGATAATTTAAAACTCGTGAGCTTTTGAGTTGGTCGGGCTTCGAAATTTTTTTTTGAGTTCGAGTTGAATATGATAATTTTAAATTCGCAAACTTTCAAATTTGACTTGATTCGTTTATATCCTTAGTAGGAAGACCGAAATGGAAGCTAAAGGTCAAAATCTAAAGTATCAGTAATGACGCAATTGAGAAAACGTAGTTTTTACCGAATAGAATAGCGAGCGAAATAAACTGTCTATCGCATTTGGTTGGAAGGTCAACGATGATGTGAGTGAAAGTTGCGTTAATAGTGCTTGAAAGTCGGATTGAAGTGACAACGAGAAACCTTGGAACGAATGACAATGTATCAAAAAAATATGTTGAAAAAAAATTAAAACCATTTGAAAATTAAGCAGGTTTCGTTGTTTTTAGTTCTAACTTTATTTTTAAAAGTAAAAAAATATTTGAAAATTATGTTGACTTTTCTGCCTACTATTAAGACACGTAGTTTACTAGCATCCTATGTGCTAGACGCAAATGCATGATAAGTAGTTTGTTCATGCATACTGACAATCTTGTTGAATTTACATGCAATGCATGATCTATGTCTATGATACAGATGAATGTTAAACACTTGCCCTTGCATCTTCAGAAGCTTGGTGCTAAGGTTTCATTTGTTTGGTTCAATATAATGGTTGATGGTTCTTTGACTGATTCATGACTTCCGTTTCCTTGCAGTGTGTTTGGTCTTTTTAATGTTCCTGCTAAACGGTGAAAAATGTCTCACTACTTGGACACCTTTGTGGAATTTGTCTGGCTTTCCATGTATTTCTTCTCATTTAATTTTTTAAATTTGCATTTCCATCATTTTACTTCTGGAATTCATGTGATAAATTTGGCTGAAGCTCCGAAAACATTTTTAATTTTTAGATACCTATGGCTTATTCAACTACCTCATTCCTGGACCATCCTTTTACGCTGTCATTGGGTCCTCATCATGGCCTGTAAGTATTCTGATGAACTGAAGATCTATAAGGTTGATATTGGTTATTTCTAGTTGCAATTTCAATTGTTAGACAATGAATTTGGACCATCCTTTTACGCTGTCATTGGGTCCTCATCATGGCCTGTAAGTATTCTGATGAACTGAAGATCTATAAGGTTGATATTGGTTATTTCTAGTTGCAATTTCAATTGTTAGACAAATGAATTTTAAATGTCCTTTTGGAATGAGAAAAACTGTATGCTTTTCTTATGCTACACATATTCTATCCCGTGCTTTTCAGATATTTTCGCCCAGTGAAAAGATTGATAACATAAATGACCAGTATTGGACATTGCATGCTGAAGAGGCAAGTTTTTCTTTTTCTACTCTGTTGAAGCTGAAATTTCATGTCTAAAATGCTAGACAATGTTGTACTGTTTTTTTTTAAATTGAAGTTATAAGGGAATAACTTTGGAAGTGATTTATCAAAAATGGAGTCAGCATCTCCTATAATATATTATACATGTTTGTAACATCTATTAATGTAACAAACTTTTTTCATTTTATCAAATTTCAGATCCCAGAAGAAGAGAAGAACCTTGGTCCCCAGGATAGGTTGATCCATGTTTACCACTTTACAAAGAGACTGGCCCAAATCAGATGGTAGCCAATTATGCACGAATTGGCAAATATTCATGGGTAATGATTTTATCCAACACAATTTGGATGTTCTAAGAATTATTTTTTTGTTTTCTTTTCTCAACAGCAAGTACAAAACTATGGCGAGCCCTTTTTCTTGGTCATTCACGAAGGTGAAACAGTGGCTGATGTTAAAGTGCGAATACAAGCGAAATTTCAGGTTCCTGAGGAAGAGTTCTCCAAGGTATTTTAATGCTAATCTTTACTCAGATATGCTATTCGTTTCATTCCTTTTATCTTTCCCCACTTACAAATCAGTTTTTGACTTCCCTTTCCTGATACCTTTACCATCTCTTTGTTTAGTGGAAGTTTGCACTGTTGCCTTCAGGGCGACCAGAGTACCTAGAGGACTCTGACATTTTATTCAATCGTTTTCAGGTTTGTCTTTGTTTCCTTGGTGTTTTGTTCTCACATTTGATCACTGTATATATGTAGTATTTATTTGTGTGTACTCTTCAGAGAAGAGATGTCTATGGTGCCTGGGAGCAATACCTCGGGTTAGAGCACTGTGATAACAGTCCTAAGAGAGCTTATATAAATCAGGTATGTTAGAAGTAAAGTTACATGTCATGCAAATTAACGCATTTTCTATCTATTTTTACAATATTGCGGTTCTAATTATGAATTGCACATAACTGTTGCAGAACCGTCACACATTTGAGAAACCAGTTAAAATATACAACTAATAGAACAGGTAGTTGAAGTGGAGAGTTTTTTCAAATGACGGGCGTCGTTTTGTAGGTATGCACTTTTTACACATCTGGAGAGGGGATATTTATCTTTGATATGGTGGTTTTTTTGGGAGTTAATACAGCTATTGTATGGTTTCTGGTTGGAAGTCGTGTGTAATTTAGCAGTACATATGAAGATTCTTTAACAGCTTCTATACAAATAGCGGGTATAGTTGTCTGCAGATGACATTCTTTTCCTCTTTTTCCCTGCTTTATTTAATGTCCTACTCCAGAGTTTATGGTAATTTCTTGGATTTAAGTGCACACCAAATGTGGTATCTTCTTTTTTGACCTTACTATATATATATATATATATATATATATATATATATATATATATGAAATATTGAGTAGACAGGAGCTTAATCAAGTTTCACTTTTAAAGCCAATTCAAAATAAAAATCTGACTATTCAAGATATCTTGATTTAAGGTTAATTATGTGTATTATTCAGTAAAAAATGAATTTGATTTTCACACTCCAACTTGATTTATGATTTATTAGTGTTTATGGCTGAATTGTAATTTAAATTTAAAGTTTTCAATGCTAATAAGAAATAAATAAAGTTGGGCTGGTAAATTACTTGATGCAGAAAAATACCCTAGTTTAGTTCATTTGATAGCTATAGCTCAAGTAAACAACAATTGAGTTTATGCTCACACAGAGAAAAGAAAGCGAGAATTGGGTTAATATAAGATTTATTTATTTTTTAATTAAATTCAAATTGTTTATGGAAAAAAGATATAAAGTTAACACTCCCTGGAAACTGTTTGGATCTCCCAAAATGCAAATTTGTATAGTTGATACGCCCATCCCCAAAATGCAAATTTGTATAGTTGATACGCCCATCAGTTTGGATCTGATTCACATGACTGGCCACGATAAGATGATTCATGCACAGCAGTAGCAGCAAGTAAGCTCTTCCTGCATGCATCAATGCTATCTTAGAGTTTGATGCAGTGTTGATTGGCAAGGGCAGCAAATAATCAATTTAGGCCATGCTTTGATCTAACAACACAACTTGCCGATAAGTTTTCTCCTATTGAGCCATTGTTTCCATTCTTCATTTTCTTGAAATATCGCACCCACATCCAACGAATATCAAGACATGGTGTAATGGTATGGTCCTCTCAAGATTCAAATTCGGATATAGGTATGCAGTGGAGCAGTGGATTCCCCAATTCCAAGGCTTCAATTTCATCAGCAGTTACAATATTTTGTTTTCTCTTTCTTGCGAGTTAATCTTCTCCACGGATCCAGAATGTAGCAGTTATGCAAAAAATTTTCATAGAGATTTTGTAATTAAGAGAATTTTTCTCAAGTATTTGGTATTCCATATATTTCAGATTTGAGGCTCCTATACTGAGCTTTAACTCAGAAATCCCCATCCTAATACCTTAGCAAAACCAGGTCAGGTTCATTCATACAAGAAAGAAACAATATATGCAACTCTTACGGTTGGAATCCATTTTCGATTTTTTGTTCAGCCAGATCCTAGACACCATGATGCATTTTCTTTGCACAATGTCAGCAATAGACTCGATTCAAGAAGATGTTGTGATTTTTTTCTTTACCGTTTTAATTTTGCTTTTTCAACGTTCCAAATTTTTGTCATGCCCTCTTTAAATGTGCAAAGAGTTTTTGGAAAACCTTCCAGTTGTAGCTCAATCCAAAAGGCAAAACTCTAACATAGCTAGAATCCTCAACAACAAAAATATGAACTGCATACCTCCCACGATGTCATATACGAAAGAAGACTTTTCATAAGCATCCTTAGATATCTCGGGATGAACCGAGGGATGCTGGCGGGGTCGATCGTCTCCTGAAAATTTTAAATTCTCATATAATTTAGATATTTTCTATTGATGATCTCTTTTTCGTCCCTAACATAAAATTCCGCATCTCCGGTAACTAGCTCTTCACTATTTACTTCTATGGTGTCTGTAATCTTTACCTTTGATGTTGCTTGGTTTGTCTCCATAGTACCTGCAATTTAGGCTCAGAGATAGTTTGTAAAGGAAAGACAGAGGAGCAGCAAAAGAGCAAGTGATCATTTGTACAATCAATAACCAGAGGAGCAGCAAAAGAGCAAGTGATCATTTGTACAATCAATAACCCTTCTCAGTTGACAGAAAAAGTATATATTAGGGGTAGTAAGAACTTATGACCATTTCCAGCATTTCTAAAAGAAAGCCAACTACTCTTCTTCTGAAACATTATTCCCCGATTTATTTGTAATTTGTTAACTAAAACAATGAAAATCTATTATCATTTAAGCCTTTTAACACACATTATACATGTGACATAAAAATAAAAGAAATTACAAGTATATGGGGTGTCTCAGAATGATAATTTTGAATTAATTTATATTTTCTCTTATTTTTCTCATTTTCTTTCTTATTAAACACGTCAAAATTTTATTATTTTTATAATTTTGGAGTGAATATAAGATAATAGTTTTTTAAAGACTCTTAATTATTTGATAATATACACAATGCTCGATTCCAGAATTTAAGAGATAACAATAATCCTTTAATCATTGTGGTTACTTAGTTATCATATGAATATTACTTAAAAAATTACGAACATAACGGTTAAAATAATAATAAGTAAAGATTCTTAATAAAGTATCAATCATTATTTATTAATTATTTTTTAAAATTTAAAATCTAAATTCCAATAATTTAATAATTTAAATGGGGCCAATTGTCCTATAATGCGAATTATCAACCCTTCAAATTGGTCGATTAAACAAATGACTTTAATTTTCCAAGAGTTACAAGATAGGCCCAATAAGAACAAATGTTCAAATATCCAATCCATCATATCTTTCTTTTTCTAATATAAAGGCCTCTAAAACTTAGCCGACTCACTCACCTTCGTTATCTTCAAACCCCTTCGAGGCTACTGCCCAGCGATTCACTTTCAAGATCTAGGTAAAACTTTTCTCTTCGGTTAAAAAATTGGTGTCTAGCCGTTGATGGCGACAGTATATTTATTTTATTCCTTTTTTCTTTTCGATGCAGTTTTGAATTTCATAGGCGTTTATATTTTTTAGATCGGTTAACTCTTGAATCAATTTGTTTGATTCTGTTGGGAATCACAGTCTTTCGCTTCGTGAAGTTAAGATAGCACTTAGAGATTAAGGATAGTAAAGAGAGCACAAGAGTATAATTCTCCAATTTGGAGATTCTTCCACTATACAAAAAAATAGTAGAATTATAATGATGCGTTCACAAAATTTGACTTATACTTGGTGGCTCACTCAAGTTTGAGGATAAAGACTTCCCAAGCTATCTCTCTTCTCTCTCAAATAACTCTCTAACTCTCTAGTTTCTCACTCTCAGAAGTGGACTCTCTTAGTGTTTTTGGATTTCTTGGAGTTAGGAATGAAGTCTCTCACCCCTATTTATACTACACCTCACATAAATGTTAGATTACTTACATCCAACGGTAGAGATTAATTATCTAGAATGATCCACACACTCTAAGAAGCTCTACACTCTTCCATTCCCTACTCTCCATAAGGTTCACACATATCTAGAATATTTCACACTCTTCCACAAGCTTCTAGATAGTTCTACTTCTCTAGAGTTCTCGGAACGTTCTAGAAAATTATACACTTCTCTAGAAAGCTCTAGAATTTTCTAAAAATTCTCCAGTTAAGGAGAGATCCAACAAATCTTCCCTCTCGACTTAATTGGGAGGTAGTAGCAAGTCGGCACATTGACATCAATCTTCGAACTTCTTGTACCATTGCCTTGGTGCTTCCTTAAGCCCATATAACTCTTAGTCATACGACACACTATATTTTCTTTGTCTGAAACTTTGAATCCCTCAGGCTGCTCCATGTAGATTTCTTCCTCTAGATCGCCATGTAGAAACGTCGTCTTGACATTGAGCTGTTCAATCTCCAAATCTTGCACGGCTACTAAGCCAAAGACCATTCAGATGTATGTCATCTTTTCCACGGGAGAGAATATTTCTTCAAAGTCTATACCTTTTTCTTGTCCAAATACTTTGACAACCAACCGAGCTTTATAGCGAGGCTTTGAGCTGCTATCTTCAGTCTTGATCTGATATACCCACTTATTCTTCAGGTTATTCTCCCTTTTGGTAGCTGCACAAGTTCATAAATATGATTCTCATGCAATGATTGCATCTCTTCTTGCATACTCTTCTTTATTCTTCTTCTTTATGACTATAACTAATTGCTTATTTATAGCTTTGAAGCTCCCCCTCATCAATGAGCATAACGTACTCATCTGTATTATACCAAGTGGATGATATTTATCTCTTGAGGATGGTTTCAGCTCTGGTGCTGTTGGAGAGCTAAACTCCTAAAAGCTTTAGAATTTTTAGAACCTCTCCAATTAAGGAGAGATCCAACAGGTTCTATGTCCATAATAACGTTCTAAATTTTAAATTGAGATAGATACCGTCAAAATTTCATCGGAATTTATAAGTGAAATTTGTAATCATATAAATTTTAAATGAACCATAATAACGTTTAAATATTGAAGTAGTTCAGTTTTATTAGTAAAATTATGAGATAAAAGAAGCATTTTGTGGAGTAAAAAAAAAAATTAGAAGTTGTAAATAAAATAAGAAAGAAAAACATAAAATTCGGATTTTAAAAGTATGATAATCCGACGGCTTAAACATGCCTAAAAAAGGCCGTACCATTCGGCAACAGTTGCGTCATCCACACCCACCCACGTATCCTCTAAAGCCCTAAGTGAAACCACAAAATGACCATAGTATCCCGATTAACAACAACTAATCTGCTGACCAAAAGGGTCATTTCGAAATCTTGCCTATATAATTACTAATCTTAGGGCTTTTTCGTTCCCTCATTCTGAAAATCAGAAGAGAAGCCGCCGCCGCACCCCTCTCTTCGTATCAAGCTAATTTTAGGTCGGTTTCTATGTTCTGTTGCAATATTTTTATTGGTTTTGTTTAGTTATGTTTAAAGTTAGATCTTCTGTTTATTTTC